TTACGGTTTGGGTATGATGCAGGGCTGTACATCAGCCTCCCCAAGGCCAGCAGGCACCAATGCAACGTGGTTCACCCTCTTGCCAATGGGATATGCCCACCAGGATGGGCTCAGCCCATGATTCCCTATGGAGAGCCAATCCAGAGCGCCCAGCATCCAGTGTGTGCTCTCCCCACCGCCCGGTCTCGGGGAGAGGATGCTGAGGCCATGTCCATCACCAACCCCCGGTGGTACCCACCAGCATCCCCATTCCCTGCGCTGTCCCAGCCTTCTGGCAGCTCCCAGCACACGGCCCCACGGCAGAGCAGACCCCACGGCAGCCACAAGCAGGAGCTGGCGGTGGAGGGAGGATTTGGCAAGCGCAGGCAGCTCCTTCCCCCGGTGCCGAGCTATTTTTGGCTGAGGATTTCCGGAGAGACGTGTGGCTGCTTTCTCCTCTCCGTGGTCCCCACCGCATCCCTCTTTCCTCACCCCCCCCCCCGCCTCAGGACTTCCTGCCCTCATGTCCAAACCCCATCGGATCTGCATCCATCACCCTCCCTGTTTCAAGCCTCACGATGCTCCGCATCCCTTACGCCTCCTGCTCAGCCTTGCTCCGGGGCATCTGTGCCCTAAGGCATGAGCCCTAAGCCTCACCTCCCGCAGGCAGGGAACGGCGGCGCTCGGCGGCAGCAGGCTCGGAGCAACGGGGATGGGCTCTCGCTCTCTGCCAGCCCGAGCGCCGCCGCGCCGCCACCACCACTTAGCCTTTAGCCCCAGGGTCCTCCATCATTGCCGGGCACTTCGGGTGACAGCGGGAGAGAGGGAAGCACAAAGCCAGAGGCTCCCGAGGGATGGGAATGAGCAGGCTCCGCACGGCCGTACCCAGCCCCGTCGGCCCCTGTTTGCTTCCCCTGCGTGAATGGCCCCACTTGATGCTGCGGCCAAGAAGGTCACCATGAGGGGGAGAAGAGCCCCATAGGGAGATCAGGACAGGGTGCAGCACCCAAAATAAGGGGGGGGGGGGTGATGAGGGGGGAAGAGGAGGGTGGGAGGGAGCAGAGCCCATGGGAAGATGGAGAAACGCAGCTCGGAGGGGAGGAGAGAGGAGGCAGAGGAGGGGAATAAAGGGCAGAGGAAGGCTCCAGATGGGCACAGAGGTGTGGGCAGGTGCCTGGGGGACGCAGGGGCCGGTGGAAACCCTCCTGCAGCCCCTGCTCCTGGGGCTGCATCCTCCAGTGACACACACTGAGCCCCCGGGGCAGCGGGGATGCACACACATGGAGGTGTGGGCACAGCCACCCATCACCGCCCCAATGCCACCAGCATCCCACAGGCTGACTGCACCTCATTATAGGGGGGCCAGAACCACCCCCACAAAGGGCTGTCCCCCCCCCTCTCGGGAGAAGGCTCCTGTCCCTCTGGCACCACCCTGGCTCCATCCCCGTCACCACCACCGCCCGCTTCCCTTTCAAACCTCATTAACTCCCCCCAAGGTGACCCCTCTCCCTCCTGCAGCAGCAGAGGACAGGAGGGGATGGGGTGCTCAGCGCGCACCCCAAAGCGGGCACCCAGCATCCCTGGACCACCACGCTCACACCCACAGCGGGATGCGCTGCTCCGGCACAGCCTGCCCCACTGCTCCCTGTGCCCCCCTCCAGCCCCACACACACACCCCCCTAACCCTCCCTGAGCCCCCCAAGTTGTAACGCAGGGAGCACGGCCCCTGCTCCATGCTTTGGGTGCTGCTTTGCCTTCGCACACGCACGGCGGCTGGCGGCTGCTCTCCGAAGCCCTTCCCCTGCTGAATGCATCTATAATAGATATTGTAGCTGAGCCCCCAGGGGCTGGGGGGGGTGGCAGTGATATTATCTGCATCTGTCTTCATTCCCTGCTCCCCCGCCCTTCCCTGCCAGCCCGAAAAGCCGCGAGATGTGGCGGTGGGAAGCCGCCTCCAGCTCCAATCCTGCTCCTTGGTGTGATGGGGAAGGGGGGGGGGGATATTAAGCAGACCCCCTGCCTGGTTGTGGACCCCCCATCCTTGTCCCTGCAGTCCCCAAGTCATACATGGGGCTATGGGACATGCACTGTGCATCAGCCACCCCACGTGTGATACATGTCTGCTTGGGGGTCACCCCCCTAATGAATGGATATGGGGGGGACACAAGGCAAGGACCCCTGGGAGGGAGAAGGGGAAGAAGACCCCAAGGGGGGTTCTATATGGACACCCCACTGCCGTGCAGGATGTGATGGAGCTGTCACGGTGTGTGGGGGGGGGACGTGAGCGCTGGGGGACAAAGGGACACGGTGAGGCCGTGGGGATGCTCTGGGGATGCAGGCAGGAGCATCCCTCAGGCTCGAGGTGCTGCGGAGAGGCTGGGAGGGAGGAGAACCCCAACCCCATGCAGGATGCGGGTGCCAAGGGGGGGAAGTGGAGCCAGCAGCGCTGAGCCTGCACCGTTCGGGACGTGTGGCTGCAGCAGGTGCCTGGCTCCCAGCCCTCGGCTCTTTGTCTGCCTCCGTTGCTGCCGCGCTTCCCCCCATTCTCCATGCTCCCAACGTCTCCCCGCACATCCCGGCCCCCCGCCTCGCTCCTCAGGGCATTCCAGCTCATTTCCAACCCTGCTCTCGGCTCCTGTCCCAGCCCTGGGGACGTGCTCCCATGGCACAGCCCTCTCCATCGCTCACCCCGAGACAGCGCAGGGGGGGAAAACAAGGCAGCAGCCTGGTTATTGATTCACCACCGGCAGCAGCACGGCTCTGCTCCGGCAGGAATGGAGCCTGGGACACGGGGATGTGGGGCAAGGGGAAGCCAGGGCCCCCCCAGAACCTCTCTGAAGCAGTTGGGGTGCAATCACCTCCATGGAGATGGAGGGCGGGGGGTCTTGCATTAAAGAGGAGAGTGATCCCTGGTGTCCCCGGAGCTGGCGTGGGGGACATTGTCCCTGTGGCACAGAGGGCACCTTTGTCTTCAAACCCAATCTCTGCTCTGCACTCGGCCCATCACGGGATGATGGCCCCATCGGCAGCACAGCCTCCAGCTGGAGGGAGCTGCTTTGGGAAGCACCTCGGCTCCATCCCAATCCCCAGCACCTCTCCCTAACCAAGGCTCCTTCAGGCATCTCCCACCCCACAACTGGACCTGCCATCACCAGCATCACCTCCGAGCTCCACCTCACCCCTGAATCCCCTTCACAAAGCTCAGTGCAGATGGCATCAAAGTGTCCCAAATTTCCCCCTATGGCATCTTCTCCCCCATGAAAAGCATCCAGGGCTGGAGACCACAGTGACACAGAGCAGGGGATGAGGCTGGTGCCACCTCCAGCTGAAGGAGCTGTGCTGGGGCCACCCAAGGCTGCACCGTGGGGTGAACCCCCAGCATCCCCCCCATCCCATGTCCATCACTGGGAGACAGACCCGGGCACCCACCCAGCACCGTGGCCGAGCAGCGGCACAGGAGGAAAAGCGGGAGCAAGGAGGGCAATAGGGAAGGGAGCAGATGGTGTCCCAGCACCAGGCGGGCCCCACCACAGCACCCCACGGCTGCAGGCACCACGGCACAGCCGCGGGCGCTGACGTGGGAAAACTCCCACGTGATGGGAGACCCGGCAGCCGGGAATGGGGGGGATTGGGAATGGGGGGCAAGGGGGTCTGCACCCCCCAAAAGCCCCAGCAGCTCAGGCTCTGCCTTTTAACCTTAAGGGCAGCAGTGGCACAGGCAGCCGGTGATGCTCACAGAGCACCAAGGGACATGGGGCAGGGACAAGGGGGCAGATAAGTTCGGAGAGGGGATAACACCAGTGCAAACCTCAGCCCTGGGAGGGAAGGGCAGCTCTGCCACAAGGCTGCTGCTGGGAACGAGCCGGTGTGCCCACCGTGCCACCAACCCACCCGGTGACCTTGGGCCAAGCTGTGCCCGGCTCACTGAGCATCCCTGCGGGCTCCCAGGGATGGGGTATCCCAGGACCAGGCTGCGATGGGAATGGATGGGAAGGGATGGGAAGGGATGGGAAGGGATGGGAAGGGATGGGAAGGGATGCTCAGCCTGCGGGCAGGAGGAAACTTCCCCTCGAAGGGAGCTCGTGTGGAGCCGCCGGGTCCCGGGGCAGCAGTGCCACCGCCACCGGCCACGGGTGACAACGTGTGGCTGTCCCCAGCGCTGCCCAAACGCGGCATCTCCCGCAGGCCTGGCTCTGCCGAGCACCTGCAGCTCGCTCCAGCCGCTCTCCCTGCATCCGTGCTCGCCCGCTGCCGCGCCGGCACGTCCCCACGCCACCGCAGGACACCGTGTCCTTCTGCTCCTCGGGCCCCGGGACACCGCAGGTGAGGGCTGCCAGGCCCCGGTGAGCCGCACCGCACCGGTGGCAGCATCCCTTCCCCTCCGCACCGGCTGCCGCCAGCTCCGGCAGCCCCAAAACCTTCCCGGTAGCGTCCCAGATTCCCCGGTACGGGGCCGACCGATGCCTTCGGAGCATGAGCTCAGCAAAACCGCACCGGCCAAAGCCCCTTCCCCAGTTGCCCACCACGGCAAGCGGAGGAGGTGCAGCGGGATGGGGCTGGGGGACCCCCACAAGGATGCAGGGGGTGAATGAGGAGGAGCGGGGTGACCACTGGATGCTTGTCCAGGTGCTGGGGGCTCACCCGGGGCTTGCCCCAGGGTTGGGGGCTGCCCTGTAAAGGGGAGAGCTGGCCCCGGGGAGGGGGTGACCCCGGTGGGGGGTGTCCCCGGGATGCTGGGGGGGGGGGGGGGATGTCCAGTGCCACCGGGTCTCCATGGGCTCTGCAGGGCGGTGATTCATCCGACAGTGACTTTGTCCCTAAACTACCGTAACTCCCGACCGGTCACTCCGGCAGAGCCGCAGCCGGGGAGGCGAGGGGGGGAGCCGGGCAGCGGGGGACCGGTCCCAGCGGCGGAGCCGGGGCATGGGAAGCAGCGGGAGGCGAGCCCCGGTGCGTGCGTGAGCGTCCCCCATCCCCTTCTCCCGTTGCGCGGTGCTGGGCGCTGCGCACCACGGGCTCACCTGCGGGGGCAGCCTCCGGGTGCAGGTACATGGCGGCGGGCGGCGGGGCGGCGGCTGCCCGGTTCGGCGGGGCCGCGGCTCATCAGACGGCGGCGGCGGCGGGCGGCGGCAGCGGGGCGGGCGCGGGGGCCGCGGGAGGCGGCGGCGGGGCGGCGGGGACCCGCATGCGGCGGGGACGGGGGGGGGCCCGGTAGCCCCGCGAAGCCCGTGCTGCCCGCCCGCTGCCTGCCTGCCTGCCTGCCTGCGGGGTGTGCGGGTGTGTGCGGGTGTGTGTGTGTGTGTGTGTGTGTGTGCGCCCCGATCGCGCATCCACTTGCTGCTCGCTGCTGGCGGGAGAGGAAACTGCAGCCGCCGGGGAGGGAGGGAGGGAGGGAGGGAGGGATGGGGGGATGAGGGGATGGAGGGAGGGAGGGAGGGGTGGAGGGATGGGGAGAGGGAGGGATGGAGGGAGGGAAGGAGAGAGATGGAGGGATGGATGGAGGGGTGGGTGGATGGATAAAGGGATGGATGAAGGGATGGATGGATGGATGCATGGATGGATGGATGGATGCGTGCATGGATGGATGCATGGAGGGATGGAGGAGTGGATGGATGGATGGCTGGAGGGATGGAGGGGTGGAGGGATGGAGGGACTGAGGGGTGGATGGAGGGCTGGAGGATTGAGGGTGGATGGAGGGATGAAGGGATTTATGGATGGATGAATGGATGGATGGATGGATGGATGGATGGATGGATGGATGGATGGATGGATGGATGGATGGATATAGGGAGGAGACGTCGTTACCGCACACGGAGAAAGGGGAACATGGCCCCGCTACGGCCCCATGCGTGGTCACGGAGCCCTGCACTGGGCACGGAGGGGGTGCCACCCGCGGGGTCACACCCGCACCCGTGAGCACAGATGGGCGCCACTCACGCACACACGGACACGGACTCCCACAGCTCGCACACGCACGGCAGCTGGCACCCGCGGTCCTGCACACGCACATGGCAGCACGGAGCGCGGCACACGCACACGGTGGCACTCCCAGGGAGGTCCAAGCAGAGCGCCCCGTGTCCGTACCCCCCGCAATCCGCGCTGCCACCGCGTCCCGAGCCACCCCTGCGGGACCTCCGTTGCTCCGCTCCGTTTGAATCCAGGCCGGGTCTTCCCAGTGCCGGGGCGCGGCGGCCGTTGCTGGGGCACTGCGGGCGCGGCGGGCGGTGCGGGCGGAGGAAAAACCGGCCTGGATTCCCGGAGCGGGTGCGAGCCGTGCGCTGGCTCCCGTTGTCTCCCCCTCCCAGCACGCAAAGGCAATTTGTGCCCGGGCGTTTATTGCTTGTTCAACGTTTGCTGTTAGAGAGGCAAACAAACGGGAGAGCTGCTCAGGGGTGTGCACATCCACCCCCAGGTTCCCTGGTGCAAGGGAGACCCCGAGACCTGGTACAGGAGGTGCCCCTGGAGGGATGCAGTGGGGCAGGGGAGGATGCTGGTGGGTGAGGATTGGGGGCTCCATCCTCTTTACCCTTTCTGCTGGGGTGAAGGGGTCAGAGACCCACCCCAGCACAGGGCAATGGGGCTGGGATGCTTGCACGGATGGTCCAGGTCTTGTGCGAACCTCAAGGAGCAGAACCCAGAGTGGCCTTTCAGGATGGAGGGGATCAGGTGGAAGCTCTCTGGAGCGATACTGCGCTGGGAAGAGCCAGAAAACCATCACCATGGTGGCTCTTGGGACTAAACCTCGACTTTCCATGCCCCCCGAGCTGGGTTTTGAGCAGGGAACTAAGCAGGGAATATCTCCTCATAATGACGTTTAAAGCCTGCAGAGGCAAACCTGAATCATCAGGGACTGGTTTTAGGCATGGGGCTGAGCTGGAGGGGAGCCTGACCCGGCACCATTGGCTCCCTTGTCTCTGGGGGTGCCAGCACTGCCTGCTGCCTGTTGCAGCGAGGCCGCGTGGGTGATAAGGGACCCAGTCTCGTGCGCCTGACTCACTCTGCAGGCTCCTCATAGCCTGTTCTGGCACGTCACCCACCACGGGGGACCGGGGACTTCTCCCAGCCCCTCGGAGCTGGGCCAGCCCCAACCCATCTCGGGGCTGAGTGCCAGGGAAGCGGGTGCTGGCAGCCGATGTGGCTCGCTGGGGAGCCCATGTGCCAGGCAAACTGCTGCACAGCCACCCGGGGAGAAGCTCTTCCAGCGAGTGGGACCAGTCACCAGCCTGCTCCCAGCACCAGGAGGCTGCGGATGGGCTGGGAAGGAGGCAGCATCCCTCTGCCCTTCTCTTCTCCAGGGCTGGCAGGGCTTTGCTTTGATTTTCCCTGTTCTTCCCCCCCTTCCCTTTGGTGGGAACCTTCTCATTAAACCCTTGGCACAAACCCTCGCTTCTCTCCGCTCGCTTCCCACCCACTCTTCAGCGAGCTCCAAGCTCCCGGTCCCCGCACGCTCAGGCATCCCGGCAGCAGCAGCACCGTAACCTCCCGCTCCCACACAGCCGCTCGCTTCCACCGGGGGCCAAAGTGGGTGTGAATCGCTGCTGACTCACGGCAGAACCGGCGCCGGTGCCTCAACGGGTGCCACACGTGAGGCTCTGACACCAGACGGGCTCCTGCCTTAGCGTCGGCACCCAGGGATGCTCTTCCCGGCCTCGCCGGGTCCTTGTACAGGGAGAGAATCGGTCCCAGCTCAGCTGGGGTTGGTGGGGTGGGTGAGACCCGATTCACACTCGCCCTGCTGTCACCCATCACTCCCTGTCTCCCTGTGGCAGAGATAGGAGCTGGCCCCAGTCCGGTCCTATTGCTCTCCCAACACCTCACCCTGCAAAGCCCTGCACCCCATAACCTCTACCCCTAAAACCTCTGGGCAACTCAGTTCCTTGCCATCCCAAAGCAACTTGCCATTCCAACCCCCTGGACAACCCCAGCTCCTGCTTATCCCAACACTCTGGGTATCCCAAATCCCTGGGCATCCCAAATCCCTGGGCAACTCAATACCTGCCATCCCAGCCCCCTGGACAACCCCAGCTCCTGCTTATCCAAACACCCTGGGTATCCCAAATCCCTGGGCAACTGGGTCCCTGCTATTCCAACCCCATGGGCAACCTCAGCCCTTGCCATCCCAAACTGCTGTGTATCCTGAACCCCTGGGTCACTGCAGCATCTACCACCCCAACCCTCTGGGTATCCCAAATCCCCGGGCAACTGGATCCCTGCCATCCCAAAGCTCTGGGCAACCTCAGCCCTTACTATCCCAACCGCATGGGTAACTGGAGTCCTTGCCATCCCAAACCCCTGGGTATCCTGAACCCCTGGGTAACTGCAGCTCCTGTTGCCCCAACCCTCTGGGTACCCCGAAGCCCTGGGCATCCCAAGTCCAGCCCAGCGTGACCCCCTCCATCCTGACCACAGGGCAAGGGGATGCTCCCATGTCTCCAGCATGGTACTGGGCTGTACCAGGGCAGCACCATGGGCATCCCCAAGGGTTGGCTCAGGGCTTGGCTCCATCTCCCAACCCTGGCTCCCAACCTCACTGGGGTGCCTGGAGCATCCTTCCCAGATCCTTCCTGCAGCACTGGGGACAAGGGAGCTCCTTGGTCCTGAGCTGCATCTCCCCCATGGCCTCCATCTCCACCACCTCAACCCACGCTGCTCTCTGTGGAGGTCCCACACGGGGCTCCTGGGCAAGGGCAGGTTCTGCTGCCAAATTGCAGTGTTCAGTTCACAAGCACTTGGGCTTCCCCGCTGCTCAGAAAGGAGTCATTCCGTTCCTTTCTTTCCCCTTTGCTTCTGTGGATGGGGAGAAAATGGGCATTCCTCATTCTCCCCTCCCACCAAAGGGGGAAGCTTTTCTTCCCTCTTCACAGGAGCCTTTTATACAAATTAATGTCGGGGCTGAGGCCAAGCCTGGGGGAATTTCATCTCCAATGGTGACTTTTCCCAGAGCCTAACAGCAGTAATTACAGGGGGTTAGAAAGCAAACTCCTTCACAGCTCGAACACGAGCAGGCTGTGACCCAGCACTTGTTCCAGCTAATAAAGATGTTAATGAAGCAGCAGCAGCAATGGGGCTCTGCCATTGCTCCTTCTTGTTCTCTCTGCTCATCCTGGTCCTCTGGATGGGGTGGAAGCGGGAGCAGTGGCTTGTGCAAGCAGCGGGGTTGATCCAAGAGGATGCTCATCCCTTCGGTGAGTTCTTGCAGTGTGTAAATGATGCTGATTGACAAGCCTGAGGCTGTGTGTGAGTAAAGCCCCTTGAACATGGGCTGTGGATCCACGGGGAAGGCAACTGGAGACCCGTCCATAGGGACCACAGCAGACCTGTTTATCCTATTCCAGTGCCCTCGGTGACAAGCCATAGTGGGAGGATGCATGGGGATAATGGGCTCGGTGGGGAGTGAATCCCTTGGTGAGTGTTTTAATTACAGAGAGAGCATCCTTTGTGCTGCTTGCTCCAAGCCCCTGTGTCCAACCTGGGATGGGGCAGCCACAGCTTCTCTGGGCACCCTGTGCCAGCGCCTCAGCACCCTCACAGGGAAGAGCTTCTGCCTAAGAGCTCAGCTCAGTCTCCCCTCGGGCAGGTTCAAGCCATTCCCCTTGGCCTGGCCCTACAGGCCCTTGTCCCAAGCCCCTCTCCAGGTTCCCTGCAGCCCCTTTAGGCACTGAATGGCCACCCTGGCTGCTGCTGGTGCAGGCAGGAGGGTTCTCAGCCCATTGGCATCACCAGGATGGATTCAAGCCCAGAGGAAGGCAGGGAACGGCAGCAGATGGAGGCTGAAGGTCACAGCTCGGACTTTGCCCATGGCACCGGGAGCAGCTGCTCTGCAGGTGAGATGGGTGCTGAGGCTGCACCGTGGGCTGGTTCCTCCCCATCCACCCGGAGCCATGGGATGCAGAGAGACCCTATAGAGTCAGTGATGCTCCAGGAGCTGCTGCAGTGGGGTTTGGGCCGGGTCCTGCCCTCCAACACTGTGTAGAGGAGGTGGCTGGTTCAGAGCAGCCACCTTGAATTGATGTTTGTCCTTTCTGGCAGCACAGAGCCAAAAGTGGGGCTGTGCCAGGGTCCTTCTCTA